ATCTATCAGTATAGCAGAAAAACCAAAGTACCTTGTAGATTAAAAAAAGGACTGTTTCAGGATTACCTCATTCCATTTACAAATTCATTGAAAATAACTTTGTCCTAGCCTTCAAAGCAGAAAGGCATCTATGATTAGAAAAAAAGCAACCCTTTTTCAAATTTTCACATTTTCTGTTAAATTATTTTTAAGATAGTTAAAATGGGCTTGTATATGATCTCTATGGCTCACCAGCACCCTCTCCATATACCACACACCCCAGCATTCCTACCGTTTCCTTCTAGGTTTTCAGGTAAGAGGAAAGATGTGGAAATGCAGGAGTAGATACCCAGGAAATGGTAGAATCTTTTCCCAAGGGAATTGGACTCTTACCTTGCCTTATACCACTCTGAATTTTTTTCTAAGAGCTTTGCCTACAGAATACAAAGTTTCTTCCTGTTCTACACATACTGCCTATTGAGTGCTTATTTTCAACTTGTCTTTACTCTGGGGAACTGCTTTTCGAGTCTATAATTTTATGACACTCAAACCTACCTGATATTCTCTTTCTGGATTTATTTGATCGTGTATTTACCATTTGTCTCTGAACCCACAAGGAGTAAAACCCATCAGTATTGTTCACTACAGAGTTCCCCAGAACTCAGGACAGAGTTTGACACTCAAATATGCTTTTGATAGAAGAATGATGGTTCCAGCTGTCTTGGGCGTCAACACAGGGTGATGCATGCTTAGACACCCTGCTGATATAATTGCTTAAAGTTAAAAGCCAGTTTTAGAGGAATAAATTAAATTTGTTAATGCTGCTTTGCAAATAGATTCTATGTCCTTCTTGGAACTCCCTTCACCTACACATGTCTTCTTTGTGAAAAAGAGAAAGAAATGTTGAAAGGCATGTTTCTTCCATTGTTTTTGCCATGGATCTTCTTTTTGATGTTGTTGTTACTTTTGTTGGTTTTGAATACCAGTGCCAGCTAATCAGAGAGTTGTCCAAACCTTCCAGTTGTGAAAAACCAGGAGAAGGAAGTTGGGTATGATGCTGTGGTGGCAGCTCAGTCTTTCTTCATAAGTAATGACAGAGGCAGGGACACATGAGAGGGTCGGACACCAACTGGAGGCATGATTCAGAAATGAATGGGTGGGAGTCTGTTCCTGAAGGCTATCTCATAAGGCCATGCTTCTCCCATAAAAGAAAAGAATAGATTTGTTGAAAAGGGATTTGATTTTGTTAAAATAAACATCAATTTCCCCATCCAATTATCAAATTGGCAGGATCCCATATCCCAAGACACAGTCCCTATTAAAATACTTTTAGGTACCTCAAACATATTTAATGGAATGGCAAATGCCCAAGTGCCTCTGTAGAGCCAGATCTCTCTGGTACAAGCAGATAATTCATTTGCCAAATCAGGGATTATGACAAATACCATTCAATATTAAAGTGTTAGAAAGGGCAAGGAGATACGGATGTCTGTCTTTGCAGCTGACATTTCACCCAATCTTCTTAGTTATAGCCAGCAGTCTTGGCACAAATGTTACACAAAGTCTTCTTCAGGTCCTGTCAAAGTGGCCCTGCCTGGGCTGAAGTTGGTGTTCTGGCATACTTCCTACAGGATTTAGGCAAACCACTTCAGATGCTATTTGAGATGGCATGTAGGCCATGTGGCTCCTTTGAAACTACAAAAGGAAAGCTCTTCTCCTTCAACACCCATATCAGTGTCGGTGACTAGTAGCATATAGGGTTGAGGAAGGGCAGTAGGCTGGGAAGGTGGAATGTTGGATCCAGGTAGGACTGAGAAATGGAAAGGAGGCACAACAATTTCTCAAAGGCAGACGGAACTGTGAAATTAATAGTATATTCATGCTTAATAAAGATGCAGTGGTGGCCAGCTGGACCTAATAGGAGTCTGAGAGGCCCCCAGAGTTACTCTGTCCCCCATGAAATCTCAGGGGAGGAAGTATCTCTGTATAAAAAGAATGGCTTTGGTATGCTAGTGAAATACTGAGATCCAAGCAGAATTGGACACAGGAGGAGAAAAATGATTTCCCGAACCAGTTCACAAAAGACACAGGAGGATAAGTATCTTTAAGACAGTCGTGCCAATGGTGGAGATGGACCACCTGTCAGTATTTCATTACAGAGCAGTAATGGGGGAAGAGGAAAGGTGGGAAATGGTTGAGATAGACAAGATGTGTGACTCAAAGCCCATTCTTACAAGCATTTGTAAGGAATTCCCCAAAGACCCCAATACTTCTGGAGGAATATTCTGCTGTAATTTAAGTGATGCAAACCATGTAGCATAACCTGGTTCCATATATTAATGTGACCTATTGTGCATCCATTGCCTGCTTATCTTCAGATTACTTGTTAAATCCATTTCATAGGTATTTTAAAATAATGCACCTAACCTTGAACAGACAAATATATATATAAACATCCTTAGTGGAAATTGGACTGGATGCAAATGTACAAACCAAGCCAAACAAAACTTGACTAAAGAGTTTAAGGCAATAAAGTTATTTGACATATAAAATAAAATAGGGAGGAAAAATAAATTAAGCTTTTCTTTAACTTAATGAAGTTCTGCTTCTCTGTTCATCATTTTTAAAATGTGCTTGCCTCAAAGAAGAGTTTTTAATTAACTTAATTTTAACTCAATTACCAAGTTATTAAAAATAAGCTTCACAGCTTTTAAGTCCCAAATAAAATTTTATCAATATATTAAGCTTGATATCATCCATCAATTTAGCCACACACACACACACACAAAAAAAAAAAAAAAAAAAAACTTAATGTAAATCTTTGGAAGGTTTACTCCTGAGAACAATTAAACCTTTGCTGTTCTGAGTCTCTCATCAATAGACAATAAAAAATAAGTATCATAATATACACACCCTGGAATGAAAAACAAGAACTATGTGCCTTGCTGTTTTAAAAAATAAATTTTAAAAAGTCTGTTCTGTTATATTCACAAATATGTGTATTTGCTAAAACTGCTGAATTTTATATTTTAAGTAGGTAAATTTTATGGTGTGTGAATTATATTCTAATAAACCTATTGTTAAAAAAGGAAATAGAAGTTCTAATTTAAAACAATGTTTAATAACAACTATAAATCATATAGTAATTATTCAAAATTCAATGGTTTTGGATTACTGAACATTAAAAAATTTTAATGAAATGAACATGAACTCAATGATAGTTTATCCACAATTGTTTTTAAAATAATTTACAAAGTGAAATCAATATTCTGATCTAAGTGAAGTCAAAGGGATTCAAACCTTCATTTTTGTAAATGAATGCATGCATTAACCTGTGCTTCCATTCATTCACAAGCTTGTCAAATACTACTTTCTCAGTGGTATATACATTCTCTTCATGTATATAGATTTAGGTATATAGGTGCAGTGATGTTTTGAGACAACATTTTCTTGTACCATTTAATGAACAGCTGCTGTGGGTGTCTTGATTATGGTAAATACTTTGTATTCATTTGTTGTTTTGAATCTTCACTTCAACTTTTTCAGAAATTCTGATCCCAGAACTATAGGAGGGCTCCCTTTCTAGAGCTTCATGAGGTCCTTCCTTTTTCAACTACAAATTTTTGTGGTGCTGGTTTTCTTTAACACTTCAACCAAAGCACTGTGCATTACAACAAATTGAATGCAGAAGCAGATGAGAGAATTTTCTGTTTTTCGGTAAGCCAGATACTAAAGAGACTTGCAATTTTTCAAACAATACCATTTGTCTCACAAAACTTTTGGAGACTGTATAGTTATTATTTTTTAGAATTATATAGTTATTTATCTTAACATATAATAGCTATTTTATTATCTAAATTAATAGGTAAATATGTGTTTGTTTTAATTTCTAATATGCTTACTATCCAAAAAATATAATCCATATCTAACAAAGCAAAAATTATTTTGGGTTACCAACAAATTTTAAGTCAGGGAATAGACTCTAAGATAAAGAAAAATAAACGAATAAATAAATAAAACAGAACTGCCAAATAAGAGAAATCCTACAGCTAAGGTGTGATCGTCTCCATTTCAGATATCCAATACCTCACAATTATTCAGTGGCAGAGCTGCCTAATCTTGAACACAATTCTGATTTGCCTCTGGCATTCTGTGGCATTAACTGACTGTGCAAATGGTGTTTCTCTTCCAAAAGGCACATGTGCCTTTTAGGGTCTCTTCACTCAGCAACATGGTTGTTCAAGCAGGGCAGAACAGTGTCGGGATTTGTGCAGATGCTATTCCCATGTCTTCCTCACTGTTTCCCTCTCTGCTTCCCTGACAACCATCAGAGAGTAGCTTCATTCATACACTAGAGAAAGGGTCAAAGTGGGAAGCTGTAAATGGGTGAGTTTCTGCCTCAACCTACAACCTGTTTTCTAGGTTCCTATGAAATCCAGTGCCTTCCTCCATCTGTGCAGGTTTGGGGTATCATACTGAAAGACATTTAACTCTGGAGTTAGCTAGTCTTGGTGTTGAGTCTATCCTTTGCCTGTTAAGTATTCTCATCTAGGTCAAGCGGTATTTACTGTGTTGTGTTTAGTTCATTCCCCTGGATCATGTCTCCATGTGCTGAAGGGGTTGGATGATTTAATAAGCTAATACCATTAATGTACTTGCAGCAGAGGAGAAGAGAAGGAAAGTTGAGCATCCTAGCTTCTTATTTCTCTTGATTTGTCCTGTCCTAAATGTTCTTTCTTTTCCATATATATGTATGTCGTCCAACAACACCTGTGAAATCCTGAGGTTTTGATTGTTGTTTGTGTATGTTTCTATATTGTTTTCTTTTAATTAAATTAGTCAATTGATTTTGGTGGAGAAAAGGAGTGGTTTACTGTTGCTTCACAAGTGTGAAATATGAATAAGCAGATGTTTCTTGCTTAGACAGGTGTCATGCAGGAGCTCTGACCCAGGAAACAGGGTTCAGCATTCAGCAGGTAGAACAAGATGCAAGACACAGGATAGTAAATACGTTTTATTCAGTGGTGGCCACAGCCTTCAGCCTCCAGCTTCAGCTTCAGCCCCCAGCCAGTTCCATTTTAGTTCTCATTTTGCCCTGTTGTGTCCCCTTTAGCCCTTTTGTTTTTTGCCATGGGCCCTTTTTATATGCAGGCTAAACAAAGAAGTCACACTGTCAAGGGGTTACAAAAGGGGGAGCATGCTCAAAAGTTAATGTTTATGACCTTGAGTATACACTCTGAATCAGAGTGTTTCTGGCCTTGATTAACCATAATATAGCCAGTTCCCAGCCCTGACTACACACTAAAACCATAACAGCCCATCAGAAGCCTAGGTAAGGGAGCCTAACTACAGCCATTTAGGGCCTGTCCCAACAACAGGTATCTAAAATGTCCCTTAATTCTTTGATATATCAAGTATCAAATACTTTTGCTACTCTATTTTCTCTCAAGACACACTTTCAAGCAGGAAGAACTTATTGTTGTTTATTATTAGGAAGTAGATGCTCATCAGAATAGAAGTGTTTTCCTGAAGCTAACTGGATCTCAAGTGTAGGCCATCATCTCTTCTTTCTTGGTTGTTCCTTCTGCTAACCTTTGACTTGAAGCAGGAGCAGGTTGAGATGATTGATGTATGATATATGGAAACCACATGCAGCATATAGAATGTCCCAATGATGTTCTTTTCCAGCTCTATGCTCTGTCGGAGGTGAACAGAAAAATCTACAAAAAGCAGATTGTTTGCATACATTAGGCAGTTATTTATATTCCACTAACATCTCTAGTCACAGAAAATAAATATAAACCATATTAAATTTCTGATACTCAACCATTTGTGAACTACAAAAATGCTAATTTTAGTCTAATGATTACTATCACAATAGTCTTTAGAAGAAGAGACTAGCAACCTCAACAAAACTCCTCATGTTACTAAGTAAAAGCTCAGGTAAAGTCAGGTGCAGTGGCACACGGCTGTAATCCCAGGAACTTGGGAGGTTAAGGCAGAAGGATCTCAAGTTCAAGGCCAGCCTCAGAAACTTAGCAAGACCCTCAGCAACTTAGTGAGACCATATGTCACGATTTTGGGGCAAAGGGGAAGTAGGGCAGAGGAGTGTGGTATGGGAGCAGGAAAGATGGTGGAATGAGATGGACATTATTACTCTAGGTACATGTATGACTGCCCATAGGGTGTGACACTACATCATGTACAATCAGTGAAATGAAAAGTTGTGCTGCTGTTGCGTACAATGAATCAAAATGCTTTCTGCTGTCATATATACTTAATTAAAATAAATAAATACATTTAAAAAAATAAAATGGAGTGGGAATATAGCTCAGTGGTACAGCACCCATGGGTTTAATCCCCAGTACCAAAAAATGTTCAGGTCAGATAGTCCCCAGGAGAACAGTAGAATACAAGGAGCAAGAGAAATGTTGAAAGAACTGTACTGTACGCATCAATCAGAAGTAATATCTGCAGAATTACACTAACAGAATAGACTGAGTCATTTTAATTCTTGTTTTAAGCAGATACATGTTAAGGAGAATTTGTACCTCTTTGAGTCAAGTGTTCTAAAGGAGTTCAAGCAAAGAGGGAAATAAATAAAGAAGTAATGAGTGATGGTGCTCATCCCTCTCTGTGAGGACCTCATAAAAATTAGCAAGACAAGAGGCCCTTCAGCTCACACATTTTTCTATTTATCAGCAATAAATAATGCTGATGAAAGCTTCATTTGGGAAAATTTACTCCTTAAGCCTTCAGGAAGCATTAGCAAAATATTTCAGCCCTATTTTCCTTCTCACTTCGTAACCCAATAGCTATTTAATTCAAAAATATCTGGCTGCAGGAGACTTAATCCACTTCAAAGGAAGTAAAGAGTTCCTTGCCATCTGAAAAGAACATAATGGAACTTCCATGGTGAAGGATTGGATGATATACTATAACTGTATTTTAATAGTTCTTTATTCTACTGAAGAATTTATGAATCAAATCCCAGCCAAATACACCTTCCCCAAACATACCTACTTGAAAAGTGTTTCTTAAATACTAAATGTCCATGCCTATTACATCAGGGCTGCTTTATCCAATGTATTTCCACTTTTCAAGAAATAACAAGTATAGGAACTATTAAAATAATTGACTCTTTTGGATGAACTTGAAAAAATCATAGGTAAGAATTAATCCATGAGCCAGAGCAGAGGAAAACAATTTTACCCGTTTTAGGTAGATGATCCTGATTTGTGCTTGCAAGAAAACAAAACCAAATCAAACAAAAAAACACTTGGCATCACCTTTTGGATCCTCAAGATTCCTAAGAGAAGAGCCATATTCTGGAAGCTGACATCACACCCAATCATTTTTGAATCAACTACTTATCTCAAAGTTTTCCCTATAAGGCTCTGTCAATGCAGAAGTGAGCTAGAATGAATAGCCAAGAGCAATTAATAAATGACAATTAAATGATGCACTTTTTCTTTCAACAACCACAAGATCCCAAGAGAACCTTGTGCAAAGTCTGACTTTTATTATATTGTATGGCTTCTCTCCATTAATTAGAGAAACCCGTGAAGCATACACTTGTCTGCTTTTGGCAGATCAACATCTGGACCCTTCAACTCACAATTTTCCAAGTGGCAGTCTGTTTTATGATGTAACTCAGAGCTTCCACCAAGAATAATAAAGACAAAAATGCCTTAGAAATTAAAAAAAAAAGTGGCTCTAAAAGGCTTTATGCAATCAACAGGCTTGAACATGAAGCCTGTTTCAGTAAGGATAGATGTGGTTATACTGCAGAAAAAGTAACCTCAAATTATCAGAGGTTAAGCACTGTGCAAAGTTCTTTCTCATTCATCCTAGATCAGTCATGAGTCAAGACATCTTTCAGGTTGCATCAATCTTGTGACCACAGCTTGTCAACTTCTGTTTCCATGGTAACAAGTTCAGGTGACAGACTTTAAGAGGCAAGCATCAGCAATTAAGTGCTGCTGCCTGAAAGTCGTGCTTAGCATATCAGCACACTTTTCATTGGTCAAACAAGTTACATGTCACACTCATCTTAAAGAGGGCAGGAAAAATGTTTCTGGGTAGGGAGAGAACCTGGAAAAACCAAAGAGACACAATAATAGCAAAGGCAAAGTCTGAATTAGTCAAACAAGATATAAACTCCATTTAAAGCCATAGGATAGAAAATTACTAGAACAAATCTATCATGAGAGACAGAAAGCTCAGAGATTATCTACTTCACCCAAATTTAAGTCCTTCTTTAATAAAACAATCTTTATGCTACTCCTTATATAAGTAACTTCTGTATATAAATTAAGCTCATTAACTCAGTTGACTTGCTAATTTGCTTAAGCCTGTATTCGTATGACAAGACATCCCTCAGAAGCAACAGGACATCCTTAGTCATCTGGCACTATTTATAAACCTCATTCAAGATCCCTCTTTTGTTTCACAAAAATGAAACCCCATTGAAAAAATATTACCAAATTTTCTTCTAACTTTCTAAGTTTTTTCTTTAAGGTCAGAGAGTATGGTTATAGTTAATAGTACTTTTTAAGAGTATTAGAAACTCCCTTCCCAAGATTTACTCAAGTAAGTATCTATTATATATTGACCTTGGAGCACTCATTAAATTTTGTCACTCTCATAATTCCTTCTGTGAGTGATACCTGGATATCTCATGTTATCGTAAATAGCTAATAAGCGTAAGTTGATTCGATTTATTTTAAATGAGTGGCATGAATAACTTGAACGGGGTGTCCTATTTATTAAAGGAGAGCCTTGCTGTATTTCTCTGCTCATGAAATTGTACAGACAGCTATTGTCAGATGGTGGGAGAAAGAAAAGGAAATGAGGGGAGAAAATAAGTTAATGCCATAGCCAATGATTCTTTAAAATTCTTCTGGTCTGAAACTGATAACATGGGATGAGATCAGTTGAAGGATTTTAGTATACTGTGTAAGGGGCAGTAAAAAGAGGTCAGGCCAAAGCAATCTGTAGAATTCACTTGAACATCTGTAGGGCATTTAATGAGACTTTCCATATTAAAATTTGGTTTTACCAGGGTATGCATAATTTTCTACTCAATTTACCCCTGACAGGTTACAGACATAAAGACATTCTCTTCAAATTGACTTTCCAAAATGTAAAAAGACATGGCAGTTTTAAGATATTCTTTGTAGGGTAAAGGAGAGAGGATCAGAGAGGGAATAACTTTAAGGCAAGGAAACCAAAACCAGGCTCCTTTGAATATTTATCATACTTTTTTTATTTTTTTCATGAATTTTTAATATTCATCAAAAATGCATTAACAGTTCTGTTTCACTTCAGCCTGGGGATCATTTACAAAACAGACAGTGATACTCAGATCAAAACAGTGGAAAGTCTCTACCTCAACTACAGGATTTAATTGGGTTTAGGAAAGAAATCCATTAGTTCACTTAAGATCGAAGGTGTGAAGTTAGCTTCTAAAAGTTTTCTTACCAAAGGAAATTCAGAAGAAATTCAGGGATCATCTGATTCATAGGCTGAGTCAAAATGGAGAACCCTTAGTTGTTGGTTTATATAAACTAATTACTATTGAGTTTTGGTGACCAAATAATTTATTTTAAAGTATTATGAAACCTCTGCAATGGGACCAGGAATTCTCATTTGTACCCATGTCCTAAAGGAAAATGCAACTAGGTTGATAGGAAGGTCTGAATCACATGCTCTATCACTATTACTGGAGAGAGAGCTCCACCCAGAACATCAGGTGGAAGCTTTTAGATGTGCTTTCCTAAGGATCCATTCCACAGGACTCCTTATTCCTCAAGCTAGGAAATAATATATCTTTGATGGAATCTTTATCTTCAATGACTGTCATTTTTATCTTAAGTAGATCTGATAACATTTTGCCTTTACTTAGAAATACTTTGATTTGAAACAAACTCATGCTAGAGTTCCATCCACAGTGAAGATTTAATAAGTTAGATAAGGGTCTTTGAAATTGGGCGCCAAAGATGTGTTATTCTTTTATTTTTTGAGATTAAAAATTCAAAGAGGCATAAAGTAATCAAAAAAGAACTCCATACATAATGTTTAACAGAATAATTCACAAACAAAAATGAAGCATGGGTTTAATCATTTGATGGCATGAACAAGTGAACAAGATAAGAATTGTTTGAACCTGATGGTTGGTATTTTCCTCTCTAAGTGACCCAGGATAGCCTTAGAGTTGTGATCCTAGCCAACATCTAGCTTAAAAAAATATTTTGGTGGTCAAACTTAGGTAATGCTAAAAGGAGAGAAGAGCATTGAGAAAAACTGAGGAATGAAACATACCAAATTATGCCATGATTATGTACCAGTATACCACAATGAATCATATATATATATATATATATATATATATATATATATATATATATATATATATAAAACCTGTATCATATACATAATTATATAAAATTATAATGAACCGATTAAAATAACATAACATAATGGGAGATTAAGAAGGCAGGGCAAGCAGATTGTGGATCAGAGGAGGAAGGGGAGAAGGGAAAGAGAAAGTGCTAAGGAATGAGATGAATCAACGTATGTGCATTAAGAATATGTGTAATAAATCCCACTATTATGTATAATTGTACAGCACCAATAATTAATATATATATATGAAGTAAGTTAAAGCTCTTAGCTAGTTCCCAACTTTTAAAGTTCATCTCTAGTGAAAGTACAGAAG